GAATGGTTCTGGGGGTGGCGTGAGGGCGTCCCTGGGTGGGGCGCTGACCCTGCTTGTGAGCCTCAGGTGAGCGGTACTTCGGGGACCTGGCCCGGGGCCCAGAGCCAGCCTGCACTGAGTCAGTCTCTGCTCCGCCAGGCTGGCCTGTTGGCCCTCCTCTCTCCTATCTGCTGCTGGCCCCCAGCCCGGGATCACCCTGCCCTGGAGCTGTGAAGACCTCTCTGCCCCCTGGGACCAGCGGGGAGCTGGAGGGGAGCGGGCGCTGGGGAGCCACCTGTGCTCGCAGCGCTGAGACAGCTGTCCCACCAGCAGAATCAGAAAACAAAACAAAATCCTCAGAAAGACGGGGTGCCAGTCCCCTTCACATCACGTTACTCTCCTTATAGGATAGCAGGACCCAGTGACCACCAGACCACCTTAGACAACCCCCGGCATGTGCCAGGGCCCAGCCCACAGAGCCACCTCCAGGCTCCAGCCTCACAGTGGGCAGGCCTCCTGCGGCCCCTCCCTGGCCAAGCCAGACCGGGGCCCGGCAGTCCTGCCGTGGCATCACTGTGGACCTGCCCGTGCTCGGCGTGCCCCTGCTTTGCGGACCGAGGCAGGTGGCAGTCCTGGCTCAGAGAGGCCACGCACAGCACATCACTGCGGAGGCCAGGGTCCCGAGAGTGAGCAGGTCGTGTGCACCCCAGTGGCTGGGTGTGCGCCTTGGTGTGGTCCCGGTCCCTGTGCAGTGAGGGAAGGGAGGGGCTGTGGCTCGCAGAAGCCATCTTGGGGGAGGGGGGGAGGCTAGGACCCTGACTGGGCAGAAGGGAGAGGTTCAGGGACAGAACTGGGTTTGGCTGAGACAGCCGGGTGGCAGGAGTGGGGGTCCAATGGAGGAACCCTGGGGTGCAGTCCTGTGGGAGAGGCAGGACAGGAGGTAGGACTGGCGCAGGCACCTTCTATGGGTGCTGGTGCTGAGAGCAGCACAGGGAAGGGTGGGGAGGGTGGGAGGCGGCCAGACCAGCCAGTGAGAGTCTGGAGGCCGGCCTGGCAGAGACAGGAGGCAGATGGGGGGTAGCCAGGTCAGGCAGCCCAGAGGGGGGCAGTGGGGGGAGAGGGAGCACGGAAGAGGGCGATGCAGGGCCCAGAGGGGCCTAGAAGAGCCCAGTGGGCAGTGCAGTGAGGCAGGGGTGGGCAGCTCTGCCTGGGAGGTATAACGAGGGACCCAGGGACGGGGTGTGGTGACAGGGCCAGCCTGGAGGAGAGGCCATTGGGGTCCTTGCTGACCCTGACCCCTTGAGCTGAGGGGATGCAGCAGGTGATGGGGTCGCCAGAGGTTGGACTGTTAACTCTGCCATTTAGGGAGAGCATGGCCGCCTTCAGACTGAGAACTGCAGAACATGGAGCGTCCAGCCCCACGAGGCAGGGGCCACCTTGTCCCTTCTCTCCTGCCTCTGAGAGGGACAGAAACGCAGAGGGCCCTTCCTGGAATTCTGGTCTTTGCGCTGGCTGGAGTCCAAGTTCCTCTTTCTCAGGAAGGAAGTGAACAGAGAACCTGGTGACTTGAAAGACAGCCCAGCTCAGACCATGTGGAGGGTGGCAGCCAAGCCATTGTCCTCAGGCCCCCTCCCCGGACAGCTGGGGCCGGGGGAGGAGTCTTGTTCCCAGATTCCTGCACTTGCAAAACCAGAGTGCGGAAGAGAAGTGGGGTAGCAACCACTGGGAAACAAGATGGGGAGAGGCAGGGCTGGTCTCTGCGGCCTTGGGGCAGGCTTGGGGCTCAGGAGTGTCTCTGGGGTCACAGGTGCAGGATGACAGGTAGGAGCATCCTGCAGGAGTCTCCCAGTCCCTGGACAGGGCAGGAGCCCCCGCCGCCGTCCCCAGAACACCAGCTGCCCTGCCACCTGGGCAGGTGGACACTTCCCGACGTGACCGCGCTCTCCTGCCAGACCCAGTGCTGCTCTGCAGTTCTCGGGGTGCCAGTGGGTGCAGCCTCTGCTCTGCTTTGTCTGCACTGTGCAAGAGAATGACCGAAAGTGGAGGAAAAGTGGGGCCTCTGAGCTCACGCCCAGCACTTGAAGCCCAGCACGTGACTGGTAGTTGACACGTAAGAGCTACTAGTAGCTCATGAAGCAAAGTGTGTCAGTTCTGTGGCTGTGATCTGCCCGTGAACAAAAACTCAGGCAGGTTTTTAACCTAAAGCCCAGCGCAGCCGACAGCTCAGACCCTCACAGCCCCCTTGGGCCTGGCGAGCCGCTGCACAAGCACGTGGGCCCATGAAGGAAAATTCTGAGCAGATTTACTCCGTATGACGCTTTCCCAAGAATCAAGCCATTCTTTGCCCAGGGCAGGCAACCCCTTGTGGCCGCTCTGCTCCCTCCTCCACCTCAGCTGCGTGTGCGCCCCTCTCTACCGCGGAGGGCCAACAGTTCCTAGTTCCTGCAGACACCTGCGCAGTAGGCGTCCTCCAGGCTGAACCTGTGGTCCACAGGATGGGTCTGGACCCCAGGGAGGGGCAGGGGCAGCAGGGGACCTGCCTTCTTGCCACCAGTGGGTGGGGCCATCCACCCTGTGTGCCAGCCCTTTCAGACTCAACCGTTACTGCCCAAAACTGGCTGTGAGCAGAGAGGGAGGGGCTGGGCAGGGGGTGAGGGGGATGTCGTGAGGCTCCCACCCGCACGCGCGCACACTGGCTGGCTGCAGACAGACGGGGAGGCCAGGGGTGGCTCAGCTGCCGGGCTCCTTCTTGGCACCAGTTGTGGGGCACAGAGTGAGGCAGGGGAAGCGGAGGCCCTGAAAGCCAGGCTAGGACGGGAGATGCTCGGGAGCGTAAGGTCATGTGGATGGGGCGGGACCCTCCTCAGGCTGCAGCTCCCACGCCCTCTGCCCATGGAGGGGCTTTGAAATGAGAATGGGGGGAACGTCCAGGGCAGACCCCAGGGCCCACGGACACCCTGAGAGCTGGGTGAGGCCACAGCGGCGGGCTGGACGGAAGGCACTCACTCTGCGCTCTCCCCACAGCCCGCCATGTGGAGCTGCGGCCCTCTCAACGGCACGGGCGGGGGTGAGGACCAGCTCCTGTGCCCGCACGTCCAGCGGGCCCTGTCCGCCCTGTCCCTGCTCCACCTGGTGGTCGGTGTCCCGGTGGGCCTGGGCTACAACGCGCTGCTGCTCGCGGTCAACCTGCAGGACCAGGGCAGCATGACCATGCCTGATGTCTACTTCGCCAACATGGCCGTGGCGGGCCTGGTCCTCAGCGCCCTGGCGCCCGTGCACCTGCTGGGCCCTGGTGCCTCCGGGTGGGCCCTGTGGGACCTGGGCAGCGCGGTCCACATCACGCTGCTCGTGCTGTTCAACGTGTCCTCACTGGTGACCCTGTACTCCACTGCCCTGCTCAGCCTGGACTGCTACATTGAGCGGGCCCTGCCGCGCACCTATATGTCCAGTGTCTACAACAGCAGGCACGTGTGTGGCTTCGTCTGGGGCGGGGCGCTGCTCACCAGCTTCTCCTCCCTGCTCTTCTACATCTGCGGCCACGTGGCAGCCAGGCTCGCGGAATGCGCCAGGATGCAGGACACCGAGGCCGCCGACGCCATCCTGGTGCTCACCGGGTACCTGGTGCCCGGCCTGGCCGTGCTCTATGCACTCGTGCTCCTCTCACGAGTCCGGAAGGCGGACACGCCGCTTGACCAGGACGCGGGGTGGCTGGACCCCTCGGTGCACAGGCTCCTGGTGGCCACTGTGTGTGTGCAGTTTGGGCTCTGGACGCCTCACTACCTGACCCTCCTGGGGCACACGATCCTGGCTGCGCGGGGCAAGCCCCTGGATGGGCACCACCTGCGGATGCTGCGCTTTGCCAAGGACCTGTCACGGTCCCTGGCCTTCGCCAGCAGCTCAGTGGTGCCGCTGCTTTACCGCTACATCAACAGAAACTTCCCCGGCAAGCTCCGGCGGCTGCTGAAGAAGGTGCACCGTGGGCAGCAGGGCTGCGCCCTGGACCAGGCGGGGCCGCAGCAGGCGATGGCGTAGACGGCCTGTCCAAGGACTGCGCACAGCTGGAGACTCAGTGCGGGGAGCGCACCACCCGTCTCAGGAGACCCCCAGGAGACGCGCTGAGAGAGAACCTAGAACAGCAGGGGGCGTGTTCCTTGAAGTTTTCTGTTTTCCCACAGAAGGCCATGGCCCTTGGGTGGGGGTGAGCAGCGTCCAGGACGCCCCGCTGCTCCTGGGGTGTGTTTTCCTCCTGACACACACGGCTCGGGTCGGCGCCCTCGACAACCTGCTCGCCCTCAGCCTTACACAGGGCTTTCCAATGAAGTGATGAAAATCTAAAGTCAGTATTTATACATTGCATTGTTCAAATATTTGATTCCTCCCTCTTATCTTCTTGTTTATGAAAATTGACGTCTGGTGGGAAAATCACAGGGTATTAAAATGAAGGAAACAATACATGCACACCTGGGGGTGGGGGGGCTGGAGCCGGTGGGCCCCGCAGAGGTAGTGGTAAGGGGAGGGTCAGATAGGGAAGCGGGAGGCGGTGCCCGGCCCCTACTACCCCCAGGTGCGCCCTCAGAGCACCTCCCAGGGCTCTGAGTACAGGTCTGCGAGGGTTTTAACCTGACGCCAAAGCTGGAAGGGCCCGCCCTCAGGACAGAGGGTCTGTAGACGGGGCCCCCAGGTGGTAAGAACGGACGGAGACTGGTGTGCAGCCACCAGGTCTCGGCTGCTCTGCGCTCGGGGACATGAGGACACTCCTGGACTGGATGCAGCTGCTCTGGCACCAGCCAGGTGCGCACAGGTGCGGTGCGGGAACACGCAACCCTTCCTCCCACGGTCCCAGCCCAGCATAGGGGTCCCGCCCACCCCGCTCCCTCCTTTAAAAACACCAAAGAGACGCTTCCTCCACCCCAAGTGTTGATGAAATTACGGCCCACGACCTTCTAATCCTCAGTTCTGAAACCCTTAAAAGCTCTAAAAACAGTTTTCTCAAGTTCATAGCAGACTCCTTTGGCAGCAAGCCCTGCCCGGAGCCTGCAGGCGGCGCGTTTCCGAGGGAAGAGCCGAGCGGTGACCCTGCCCCCCGGCCCCGCGCCTCCCGCCCCCCGGCGCCCCTCCCCTCCCTCCGTGCCCCCCACCCGCTCCGTGCTCCGTGATC